AACTACATGATCTGGTTACAGTAACTCACAGTAGTATTTTGCATTTGAAGAGGGTTAAGGTAACCGTATTCGAATGTACAATAACTTTTTTGAAAATTGGCCAAATGACATGCTTATACATACATATGTTGTGCGGTCTACAAAAAACAGTTTTTCAACTCCTTGTTGAAGAACAATAACAACACACAGAGCTTTCGCCATTCGTAGCACTTGATTGAATATTTTTTTTAAGATACGGTGCCTCATATCGTTTTCACTCGCCATATTATACAATTACCATTCAATAGCACAATTAAAGCCTGAATATCATAGTAGACTCAAATCCTATTAATCCAGACCAAGGCTGCATCGTAACGGTACATTTCAAGTTAAACAATCAGTAGATTCAGTTGAAACATTCGGAAATGTTATCGGTAAAGCAGTTATAAAAATAAATTTTATTTCGTTTTTACCCGAAAATTAAAGGTGTTATTACTGCTACATCGTTAACAGATAATGTTAAACATTAAAATTGAAGAGTACTGTTAAATCATAACAGGCAGCTACTTTAAAATTAACGTTAACAATGAGTTTATGCGATTTACGCATTAATAATTTCCATTTCGTTACGATCACATCGTCTAGAAACGAAACCAAATCATTTCGGTAAGTTTATTTTTCATATTAACAAAATGAAATGACATCGTTTCGTTTGTTGAGCATCTCTGATCCAGATTTGATTCATTTTGAATGTCGTAAATAATTCAAAAAAACACTTTTTTTTACTATTTCTTTGAATTTAACAATATTTTACAGATTTTGTAACAGCAATGGCATTTCATCGCTCTAATTTTAAAGCTGACTATAAGCGACTACAACTCGAATGTAACTTAGATAAAGTATAAATTTAATTACTTTAATTTTCTGCCTAATTTACATAGCTGGATTATGTATGCGTGTACCTCACTTTCTTCAGAAATACTGAAAGCTTTAAACATTTAATAAATTCAAGCGCAAAGATATATGTACATATTTTCGATTGTTTATACGTCACAAATAAATTAACATAATTCATACATTTGATTAATTAATTCATTTTATGAATGAATTTCATACGCAAATCAGAGCTGCATGTGAAAGTGTTTTGTTGTGGTCGGTCCTGAGATATTTGTTTTGTAAAAATGAAGGTGTCTCACGATTAATGCAAGATTGGAATTAAATAGAATAGATAGACTTCAGTTGTTGTATTAATTACGCCGAATTGAGGTTTCTGGAATGTCATTGACACTCCCACTCTGCTTCGATATTGTCATTTGAACGACTTGTATTTAATTTAAATGGCTAGTTAGTTTAGTGGCTCCAACGCATACTGTCTACTAGAATTTTTCAATTAATCTCCTCACAGGTGACGTAGTTAAAACACTGTTTCGACCATACTTTGTAAGGAATTTTCGAACTGCTCCGTGAAGCTTTCATTATTTTGGAAATACTGTTCAATAATGAAGACACCTTGTTCTATCGTGTAACGCTCTAATTTTATTTAGCCTAAGCTGTCAGCTGTCGTCTGTGGCTTTGTTTTTCTTTTGAGGACTGTCAATATTTTACTATGATACATAAATGGCGGCAAATGTAAATCTTGCGTTACTTTTAATACAGCCTTACATGTATCTATAAAGAAGAAATTTTTAAGTTAATTCCAAATAGTGCACTAATTGCCACACGCGGGAGCTATATATTTGAAATAAACCATTTTTTTTATGTAATCATTTCTTTGCATGTCTTACAATGTGGAAAAAGTGATCGAAACACGCGCATCAGAGCAAAAATTAAAGTAGCAAGTTGAACATTTTTTGAAAATTTTTCTTTATCGCGATAAAGTTGAACGGAATGGAACTGGAATGCGTTTCCAGACTTGTTAATATATTTTTCAAGATTTTTTTTTTTCGTTCAGAAAATGTAATCGTTGAAACTTCTTATAAAAAACTATCCTTTTTTGGAAAATGTCGCAATTTTCTTTGGATTGCAATTTTATTTTACTCAACGCAGATCAACGATCTCCATAGGCGATCCATAAGGTATATTGTAATGATTGGGAAGATGTGTAAGAAAACTCGATTTCCGTCTGTACGGCGCCAGTGTCTAAAAGAGTAAATATAAAAATTTGTATAACATCGGATTCCTTGAACAATTTTTTATAAAATGTCTAAGTTTATAGAAATTATCGTCAACAATATAGAAGAATATAGAATACAGACGGGGTGAAAAAGTCAATGCGCTTGTGTTGTGTACTGTTACCTCAATATGCGTCGTAAGGCAATCTTATTTATCTCAATAGTAATGCACAAACTGCAATTGATGTCATAGATATAATATATTGGAGAACTATGTACAGCCTTGGCCAAAAGTATTAGGCATCCTACTAATTACTGATTTTTTTTGTTTTAACATTGAAAATACAATGAATAAGTGATAATGACATAAATATTTAGTAGGTCCAACCTTCGATTTAATAACGGCAGCAATTCTCTTAGGCAAGCTGCGTACAAGCTTTGCAAATTCGTCCGCACTTATAACGTACCACTCGTTAATTAAGGCATTCTTTGAGGCAGTTTTAATGTTATACCGTGTTCCCTGATCTTGTGCTTAATGGGATTAAAATCTGGCGACTGTACAGGCCAATCTAACAAAACAATGTTGTTATCTCTAAGCCAACGCATCCCAGTCGCTGATTTGTGACAAGGAACATTGTCTTGCTGAAATTGAACCCCGTCTAAATTAGTAGAGCCGAAAAAGCCCGTTAACGAAGGCAGAAGAAAAGCTTCTAATACATTTCTGTATTTTGGACTGTCACCCTCGCAAACGAACATTTCGCCGACACCATCAGCAGCCATGCAGCCCTAGATCATAATGCTGCTTCCTCCATGTTTAAGCGACGGTACCACGCAATCTGGATGACATTCTTCCTCAACCCGTCTTCTCACGAAAGTCACACCAGGTGTTAAAAATATCTGTAGAAAAGAAAAAAGAATGTTTTCATAAGATTTGTATTATGTTTTCAAAATTGCTCTAGGGTAAGAAGCTATGGCTGTTAATACTTTAAGACGATCATAACTAAGCTTACCTAGAAGTTTGGTTCATCAGACCACAGAACATACGACGAATCTTCTTCCGTAAAATGTTGGTATCGGCGAGCCCATTCCAAACGATTTTCCTATTCTTTTCTGAGAGCCATGGCTTTTTTCGGCCTTTATATTCTTTTGAACGTGCTTACAGAAGTCTTCTTCTAGCTGTTCGAGCACTAACTGGTTTACAAAATTCATTCGAAAGAGCAGCTGCAAGGGCAGAAGANTACAGCCTTGGCCAAAAGTATTAGGCATCCTACTAATTACTGAATTTTTTGTTTTAACAAGTAAAGTAATGAAGTTTTATTAGTAAAACATTGAAAATACAATGAATTAGTGATAATGACATAAATATTTAGTAGGTCCAACCTTCGATTTAATAAGGGCAGCAATTCTCTTAGGCATGCTGCGTACAAACTTTGCAAATCCGTCCGCACTTATAGCGTACCACTCGTTAATTAAGGCATTCTTTGAGGCAGTTTTTGATGTTATACTGTGTTCCTTGATCTTGTGCTCAATGGGATTAAAATCTTTCGACTGTGCAGGCCAATCTAACAAAACAATGTTGTTATCTCTAAGCCAACGCATCCTAGTCGCTGATTTGTGACAAGGAACATTGTCTTGCTGAAATTGAACCCCGTCTAAATTAGTAGAGCCGAAAATGCCCGTTAACGAAGGCAGAAGAAAAGCTTCTAATACATTTCTGTATTTTGGACTGTCTATGCTATCCTCGCCAACGAACATTTCGCCGACACCATCAGCAGCCATGCAGTCCCAGATCATAATGCTGCCTCCTTCATGCTTAACAGTGGGTACCACGCAAACTGGATAATATTCTTCCCCAACCCATCGCCTCAAGAATGTCACACCAGGTGTTCCAAATATCTATAGAAAAGAAAAAAGAATGTTTTCATAAGATTTGTGTTATATTTTCAAAATTGCTCTAGGGTAAGCAGCTAAGGCTGTTAATACTTTAAGACGATCATAACTAAGCTTACCTAAAAGTTTGATTCATTAGACCACAGAACATATGACGAATCTTCTTCCGTAAAATGTTGGTATCGGCGAGCCCATTCCAAACGATTTTTCCTATTCTTTTCTGAGAGCCATGGCTTTTTTCGGGCTTTATATTCTTTTGAACGTGCTTACAGAAGTCTTCTTCTAGCTGTTCGAGCACTAACTGGTTTACAAAATTCATTCGAAAGAGCAGCTGCAAGGGCAGAAGAAGATTTTTTGCGATCCTTGAGAGACTCGCGTATAAGTATTCGGTCTTCTTGTTTACTGGTTAGACGCTCTCTTCCACTTTTTTATTTATTATTGTGGGATTTCGTCTCCACAAATCGTCTAATAGCACATAGGACCGCACACCGCGAACATCCCACCAAATTGACAATCTCAACCTGAGGCTTACCTTCTTCTCTTAGGACTTGAATTCTAACTCTATCATCGTAACTAATTTCACTATTTTTAGGCATTTCGGTAAATCCGAACTGTTTTTATAAAATGGGAACTTTTCACTAAATGCAATTTACACTTTCAATTTTAAATGCGAAAATATTTTATGAATTCCTTAAAAATGACAATTTGTAGGTTTAGCTTATCCAGAGTTCTATGACTTTTAATATTACACAATTTATTCGTTTAATCAACAGTTAAACACACGTGTAAGACATTTACAAAAAGAAGTGGTAATTTTGATAGCCACATTTGAGAATACTTGTATTTTAGTGGGATGCCTAATACTTTTGGCCAAGGCTGTATATATGTACCATGTACTCGTAAAATTAACTATTTTATTTAAACAATAATTAAATTAAAATAAACTATATGATATTTGGTATGCATATAACTAAAACGGAATATAGTACAATATAATTTTCTTCGTATATTCTTTAACAGGATTGTATTTGGTATGGCGTCTGCAACACTGATCCCTCGACTCAGCACAAAATGTATTGTGCTTACAATGGCACGGCAAAAGTTATGCCTGATAATGGCTTGGAATTACTAAAAGCAAGATGTAGTCATTTACTTGATGGTGGAGCTACGGAATTTTGTTGCAATAGTGATCAGGTATAGCAAAAAAAAAAAAAAAACAAGCAAAAAAGCATGCGTATTTATTGTACTAATTATCTCCTTATGGAATTTCTTTTAAAATTTTTTTTTATAAGATTTCTGTACTGAACGAGAACATCAAATTGGCTGCAAATTTTCTCGAGCGCTGTCCATCGTGTATGGGGAATCTTGTGCGTCATTTATGTGATTTTACATGTTCACCGAAACAATCGGAGTTCGCGAAGGTCGTCACAACTGATGTGACAGCGGAGGGTATGTTTTTAGGCATGCGAAATGTGTGCATATATACATGCTAATTGAACTAAATCTCACCTATTTTTCTATTATATTTTTTAGGCAAAAAATATGTTACCGCTTTGGATATACATATAACTGCTGCTTATTTGAATAATACATATAAGTCATGTTCACAGGTAAATTCGAAAAGTTATTTATGTACATAGTATTATATTTCTCCAGTTTTTTTTTCAAATTTCACATTTCATAATGGTGTAATAATGGAGTTTACTTAACTTTAACAAATGGGGTAATAGCGAGATGTTATTTACAATACTTTTTTTTTTAATTATTTTACGATAACACTTATATAGGTTTCACAGCTTCAAAAAAATCAAATTTTTCTTCAATTTTCAAATCGATCCGAATAAAAGTATCGGCGATATAGCCTCGGGAAGGTGCGCGCCCAAAGTCATATACACTCAGCACTTCAAACTTTAAATGTGTTTTTCTCGAAACTGTGTTTTCAAAGTCATTTGTCCAAAAGTTCTCTAAAACCACTCGACCGGTTTTCATTAAATTGTACACAGTTCTTCGAGAGACAATTCACAGGAAACTGCACGAAGGTTTTTTTTCAATCACAATCATTTAAAATAAAAAAATTTACTAAAATTATTTCTTTTTTTTTTTTGTAAAAAGTCTGCCAAAAGTTCAATTTCCACTTTTTCTTGTTTTCTTTCGTATATGATTATTGGCTAAAACACAATTTATTTTTAACTCGGTTAAATTCTACTGTCAACGGCGGAGTTATGAATGTTTTCCGTTGACAATTTCAGAATTTCTCTTTCAAATGTTTATCTTTAAGATAGTAAAATATGTAATAAATGATATATGAGGCGTACTAATTATTATTAGTTCATATTGTATAATATTTTTAATTTTTTAAATTTTTTTTTATGAATATTGTTTTATGAGTTATATATCCGATAAATACGCAGGTAAAATGGAAATGAGTTCTCTTAATTTCTGTTTTCACACAATAATATCGAAAAACATTGTCGCTGGGTAGAGCCGCACTCAGTGGTCAGGTCAGGAATGACAAAGTGCATTTTGGCATTTTGGCATAAAATCATTTTGTCATACCTGAGTAATGAATGATATATAGGGCAACCTAATTTTTTATTATTATTAGTTCATATTGTATAATATTTACATTTCTAAAATATTTTAAACCAATTTTTAATTGTTTAATATTGTTTTATGAGTTACATATGTATCTTTTTAAATCAATAGAATCAATGCAAGTTTTATTTATCGTTAGCAGTTGTTGCATTTTTACCGCACATATGTATGTATGTATAGGGGTTTCCAATAAGAGTGATATGATTTCTTAAAAAAAAAACACACACACACACTAAATGTTGAGGGAACTGAAATGCTTTTTATTTAATGTGAAGTACAATCGATACAATTAATTTCTGAATATAACAAAAAATACTAAATCAACTCGTATGTCATGAATAGCACGTTCAATAATGACTTTTAAAACTTGAAGAGAATCTGGTTTATTTCTAAATACCAAATAATATAATAACTCCACAAGTAGTAGTCTAACGGTGTTAAATCACAACTTCTTGGAAGCCATACAATTTCACAAATTCTTGAAATAATCGAATCTCCAAACCTCCTCGCTAGAACTCGGTTTCTTCACGTGCTAAGTGACATTTAGCCCCATCTTGTTGGAACCAGATGTGGTTAAGATCAATATCTTCCAATTGTGGCCATAAAAAGTTGGTTATCATCGATCTACACCGTATCGGTGCTACCAGCTTCATTTCGAAAGCAGTACGAATCGATGATTAGACCAGACCAAAAACCACACCAAACTGTCAATTTAGGTTAATGTAATGGTTATTCATGAATAATTTGTGTATTTTCTTCGCAACAGTACCCTAGACAGCTTTTGTTATAAGTATTGAATAAACTGAATGCCTGGTTTGTTTTTATGAATTGAATATTTTGTTATACCACAAAGAAAAATGGTAAAACGTATCCTCATCAGACTTGCTTATTTACCGCATCATTCAGATGAAAGTGAACGTCACCGGAGGAGATAATTTTCACAAAAAAAAAAACATCACTTTCAAGTTGTTCCAAGGCAATATCAGTAATCAGTTTTTGCATATATCTTGTCATTTTGAAATTATAAACCTTACTGAATGCCTTGAAAAATAAAATACAGATCATGACATATTAAAAATGGCCTAAACGACATTTAAAAATTATATATCATCCGTATTGGAAAACCCTTTATACAGGAATATAATTGCAGTCTATTTGTACACACATATCGTATTTCGTTTTCACTGACTGTTACGAGTTCATAATTGAGTATAACTATCTGTGATACATGCATATATATTGTAGTATGTATGGAGGTATATTTTGATAACAAGTAAACGTTAATTATCATAAAGACTTAAATTACTTTTAAGTATGCAAAAATACATATTTATATACCGTGGTGTGGTGTACATATAGACGTAGCAAATGGTTACAGCACAATTACGAATAAGAAAATGTAATGAAAAACTCTAATATTTATACTTACTATTGTTTATTATTTACGTCTAGGCTGATGTTATTTTGTTATTTTTTCTATTAAACGACAATTAATACAATTAGTTAAAGAATTATTATGATTTTATGTAACAAAATGTTTTAATAAATATGCATATACATACGTGAAAAATATCGGTTGGTAGAAAAACGGGTATATAGCTGCCACAACGAAAAAAAAAATAAACCAAAATGCAATGAAATTTAGTTCACATTTTATTTCTAATGGAGATATGAAGGTTTTAAATGCAAATATTGACGATTTAATAAAATAACAAAGTAATTAGTTATTTTTAAATATCAAAGTTTAACAAAATAACAGAGTAGCTATTATTTTATTTTTATTATTATTTTTAATATTTAAAAGGCGAATCATAAGATTTAATAGAATAGATGCACTTAATGTGACAATTGTTTTTGGTAATACTCCAAGTATTTTTTTTATTTAAAATAAATTAGTTTAAAACAAAATATGATGTTGGGGAAATATTATTAAAAATAAAAATGGAAAATGGAATAATTCAGCGGTATATACATTTTTCTTGAAATTTCTATTTGCTTTTAATCTAAATAATAATTTAATAATATTGTTATTATATCTAAATCATGTGTTTATTTTCACCCTAAGGTCTCCGTACCATCGACTGGTCAAAAGGCTTTCGATATAATGTGTGGCAGTTATATGGCATCGCGTTGTAGTCCTACAAAATGGTTTGGTTTTATGGGTGACCAAGCATCAAATCCATATGTACCGTTCCAAATAACTTATGTCCAACATGAAAATAGTTCCTCTATAATTGATGGTTATACACCATTAGATCCAGAAACGACGCCATGCAATGAAAAATTAAACGTGAGTACATAACTAGAGAATTTCAAATATCTTTTATGACAAATATATATGTAAATACGCGTACTTTGCAGGATAAAACACCAGCTTGCGGTTGTAGCGATTGTGAAGCTTCCTGTCCTGTACCCGTACCAGAGCCGCCACGTCCGGAACCGTTTAAAATTGCCGGCTTTGATGCATTCACCGTAATAATGACTGTTGTCTTTTGCGTAGGCACATTACTCTTTCTCATGGGCGTATGCCTATTTCCATCCAAACGAAGTGAACGTAAGTTATTTATGTAGGTCAATATAAAGATTATTTGTCTATTGCGTATACAATTTTCGCATGCAATCATAATTTGTGGTCACTCATAATGCGTGGCATGGATAAAGAGAATAAATAATAATATCTTGGGGTCTGCATGATTTTTTAATTTTTTATTATGGTTTTTTTTTTACTGAAACAAAACATTTAGCTTGTTTTTGTATAAATATTCATGGCTCATATTGGCAAAATATTTTGGAATATGAAAATAACATTTTTATATATTCATAAAATTTCGGTTCTTAGGAAATATATGTAAATTTAAAAAAATATTGAAGGAATTAGGCTCATTTTAGTAGAATATATATTTGCATAAATGTTTTTTTTTTGCTAGTATTGTAAAAAAATATTTTACGACAACACAGCGTTACCCAACCTCCTACCTAAGCTATTGGACTTATAACAATCTAAATACTTTTGTTTCGGAACAGAAATAGGGCGTGGAGTCTGTTTTGGCTTTCCCTTACCCTGTTGAACTTTTTTTGTAGTTAAAGTTTTTTTTTTTAGTTTTAACGAATTTGAAAATTATTTATTCTCAAATCTGTTTCGTTATATGTATATATTAGCTTATAGATTAAAGAAAATATGTTTTTTTTTCGTTTTCAGTAAAATTTATTTATATAATATAAGGATTTTTCTAGAGTTAGTAAACTATGATAACTACTTGATAAAGATTCAGCTTAGGAAAAAAAATGTCAAAAAAAATTTTCTCCACTTTAGTGATTACAGATAATTAGTTAGATTAAAAAATGTTAAACGAGTGACAGATTATTGCTAAAGTCCTAATAGGTTCTATCCAAAAATTATTTCAATCATATTATTTTTTTTTAATATATAAAAAAAAAACTGTATATTCAAAAAAATTAAAAGCAATTAATTGGCTTTTTGCTTTTTTGGTGCTTTTAAAAATCATCTCATTCTAAAACAGCAAATAAATTATAAAACTCTAATAGTCATGTACGGATTCTGTCATGGCAGATGCTTATGTCTATTCATATGGAATGTTTAAAAAAAAAATCATACATTGGTTGTTTCAATATTATCATTTTCTAATACTGTTTTTTTTTTTTGGTTTCGTTTACTAATATATTTATAATCTTCTTATTATGTATTGGTCGTTGAGTAGGTGAAGGTTTGGATAGTGATCTATGTAACGCTACAGTTAACAACCGTTTTACTGGACAAGTGAGTAACGAGTTTGCACCTGAGGAGGATTCCCCACTACAATCGAAGCTGAGCAGTAGGTTGAATTTTTGAAAGATTTGAAATTTAGTGTCGTAGAAGTTTTTGCTCAAAATTGTGTTGCTTCTTTCTGTGTAAATATCTGCTGCTGTCTAATCTTGTTTTCAAACTTTGAAATTAAAAAAAAAAAAAATATTGTATTATATGAAAATTACCAGTTTGTGTGTGCGCGTATGTGTTTTCATTGGTTAAATATTATATATCTCTTCCATTTTGTACATATTATTATTATTTTAAACAAATTCAGTTTGTTAATAACTGTAAATGAGCTCTAGTGATGTAAAAAAAATTCTTTTTGAGTTGACTATTCATAATTATTTGTTTTCTAACCTCAAATCTCATTTCAAGCACCCATCTTAATAAATGCCGTTAGTTTGGTTCCAGCTAAAAAGTTGTCGTAATGCTTTGCACTGCATTTATTTCGAATTAAGAACAGAAGCTCGGAGTAAAATATCGTAGGATCATCATGAATGTGTTTCCCTTTAATACTTTATTTGAAAAAAAAATAAATGCAATTATAATTAGGGTTAAATTTATCTTGATGATGCAACCAAGTTAACAAAAAAAATAAAGGAAAGCATTCCCTACGCTAGATTAAAAATTCTTTTAAAATTTTCTATTGTATTTATGATATATTTTTCTACAATAACAATAGTCACCCTTCAATTCATCGGGATTGTAAAAATAAATAATTGTACCAACGAATTTAATATTAAAAAAAAATAATATTACAAAATTGTAACTAATTCACAGTCGATTCGATACACATGCACTTCACTTACTTGTAAAAAATTATCTTCAACTTCATAATCATATAAAAACATATATTTTCTAATTGTCTCTGCTAATAACCTACTTGCCTCTAAAAGCTTTATTTTTTTATCTACTCGTATGTGCAACTTTTAATCAATATTATATTGCCTAACATATTTAAATCCTAATTGTATTTAATTCACATTTAAAATTGTTTGCCTTTTGTCATTTCTAATAGATGATGACAACGAAGTTGACGGTGCTCAGGGTCCTACTTTGGATGACTATGAGACTGGCTATTTTGAAAATCTCGGCGCTAAAACTGAAAAATATTTGGAAGCCTTTTTCACCACTTGGGGCAAATTTTTTGCTCGCCGCCCCAAGCTGACGCTAATTGGTGGCATTTGTTTTGTCATTATTATGGGTTATGGTATTAAATATCTACACATAACTACTGATCCAGTGCAGTTGTGGGCTTCACCACAATCCAAATCACGCATTGAGCGAGAATTTTTCGATTCACAATTTCAACCATTCTATCGATTGGAGCAGGTGAGTGTCTGAAATAATGAGTTGTCTCTTTGGCACTTAGTTATTATTTTAATTTTAATTATTTAGTTAATTATTAACAATCGAAATTAGCGTTCTACCTGGTACAGACAAATGAAATATATATTGAAATATATTATTTATGAATAAAAATATTTATTAAATGCAAACCTTTCACACTTACAGGTTATCATCCATGCTGTCGATTTACCCGATATAGTCCACAACACCTCTAATGGCCCACTAAATTTTGGCCCAGTTTTCGACAAAACTTTTCTAACTCAAGTCTTAGAATTACAAGAAGAGATCATGAATTTGGGTAGAGGTGGTAATGGTACTGTTTTGGAGGATATCTGCTTTGCGCCCTTAACCAGTGAGGGTGGTGGAAAGAAGGATGTTTCTAAATGTATTGTACAATCGCTATGGGGATATTTCGGTAATGATTTGGAACGTTTAGATGAAACCGATGAAGATGGCAATTTTGAGGTAAGAAATTTCATTTGTATAAATATCTAAATTTTTTTAAATATATTTCTTATTCTAAAATATTTCAATACTCTTTTTTACAGGTCACATATTTGGATGGCTTGTATCAGTGTATGAATAATCCGTATCTTTGCCTAGCGCCGTACGGCGGTCCAGTAGACCCAGCTGTTGCTTTAGGTGGTTTCTTGCCTCCTGGTGAGCAATTATCTGGCGAAACGAAATTCGAACGTGCAAACGCAATTATACTCACATTTTTGGTGAATAATCACCATGATAAATCAAAATTGGGTCCAGCATTGGAATGGGAGAAGCGTTATGTTGACTTTATGTTGAATTACACTAAAACACGCAAGAGCAAGCATATGGATATTGCATTCACCTCGGAGCGTTCAATAGAGGATGAACTGAATCGCGAATCTCAATCTGATGTTATGACAATACTTGTTTCCTATCTGATTATGTTTGCATACATAGCCATTTCTTTGGGTCACGTACAGGAGGTTCGTCGTGCACTAATCGACAGTAAAATAACGCTGGGTGTGGGTGGTGTTATTATTGTATTAGCATCGGTGGTATCGTCCGTTGGCGTATTCGGTTACATTGGTGTGCCAGCAACACTAATCATTGTTGAAGTTATACCTTTTTTGGTGTTGGCTGTGGGCGTTGATAATATCTTTATTTTGGTACAAACCTATCAGCGTGATGCACGACGCGCCGACGAAACACACGAAGATCACATTGGTCGTATTCTGGGACGTGTTGGTCCATCAATGCTATTGACATCGGTTAGTGAAAGTTGTTGCTTCTTCCTTGGCGGTCTCTCTGATATGCCTGCGGTGAGAGCTTTCGCACTCTATGCCGGCATGGCATTACTTTTCGATTTTATACTACAAATAACATGTTTCGTCAGTCTCCTAACACTTGACACAAAGCGACAGGCTGAAAATCGCTTAGATATCTTCTGTTTCATACGTGGAAAGAAAAGTGATACCTTACCACATACCGAGGGTTTATTGTATAAATTCTTCAAGAGCGTTTATGTACCGTTCCTAATGCAAAAGACTATGCGTGTCATCGTTATGATAATATTCTTCGGTTGGCTGTGCAGCAGTGTAGCGATTGCGCCACGTATTGAAATCGGTTTGGATCAGGAGTTGTCAATGCCGCAAGATAGTTTCGTACTACACTATTTCCAAGCATTAAATAAATATTTAAGCATCGGCCCGCCAGTGTATTTTGTGTTGAAATCCGGCTTAAACTTCTCCAAGACATTCCATCAAGATCTCGTTTGTTCTGGGAAGTATTGTAATGATGACAGTGTATTGACACAAATTTATCTGGCTAGTCGTCGTGGTAACTTGACATACATAGCCCGTCCTGCCTCCAGTTGGATTGATGATTACTTTGATTGGAGTCAATCGTCAAGTTGCTGCAAATACTATCCGAAGACTGGCGAATTTTGTCCACATGAGAGTAAGTGCACTGGTATTTTCAACATTAAAACAAACAATATTATTCTGCACAAGTTATTTTTTGCTGTCAACATTGTTGAATGGTGTACAGATGCTCCAAAAGCAGTTCTTAGTTTTATATTTACATTTTTATATTATAGTTATTTAATATTTATTATTTATAATTTTATTTCTTATTTTTAAAACACATTACCCTCAACATTATCAATCTGAAACTTAATACCTAATTCCACTTTATCAATTCTTACACAACTATGCTTGGAATTATATTTAAAGAGAGCTTTAATACCTTTAATTCTTTTTACTTTAAATTAAAAAGATTACACAAGTTGCTTTAGATAGTAGAATTTTGGTTATAACCATAAAAGGAGCAAAACATTTTCTACATTTAATTCGCTTATTTTAATTATTTTTTTTTTTGCAGAGACTGAATGTGATTCCTGCGAAATTGACAAAACCGACCGGCAACGACCTACATCGCACGATTTCGGCAAATATTTAACATTCTTCCTACGTGACAACCCCGACGATAGTTGTGCCAAAGCCGGACATGCTGCTTACGGCAACGCTGTACAATATAAAACTAATCCAAGTACAAATTTATCAACCGTCGAAGCATCCTACTTTATGGCATACCATTCCATATTGAAAACATCCGCTGATTATTATGAATCGCTACGTGCTGCGCGTAAAATCTCCGCAAATATAACAAATATGTTGCGTGGCCGTTTAATGTCACAAGGTGTACCATTGGAGCAAACACTCGATGTCGAAGTATTTCCATATTCCGTTTTTTATGTATTCTACGAACAGTATTTAACTATGTGGCCGGATACATTACAAAGCATGGGCATATCTGTGCTGGCAATATTTATTGTTACATTCGTGCTAATGGGTTTCGATATACACTCATCACTTGTTGTTGTTATTACAATAACAATGATTGTTATAAATTTGGGTGGCATAATGTACTATTGGAATATCTCATTGAATGCTGTATCGTTGGTGAATCTTGTGATGGCTGTTGGTATATCGGTGGAATTTTGTTCGCATTTGGTGCATAGTTTCTCAATTTCAATGGAGAGTACGCGTGAGAAACGCGCAGCAGATTGTTTAGCCAAAATGGGTAGTTCGATATTCTCCGGCATAACATTAACTAAATTTGGCGGCATTTTAGTATTGGCATTTGCTAAAAGTCAGATATTTCAAGTATTTTATTTCCGTATGTATTTGGGTATTGTGTTGATTGGCGCTGCTCATGGACTCATATTCCTGCCGGTGTTGCTCAGCTATATTGGTTAGTGAAGATATCAAGTATCTAAAAAATAATTAAATATGGTTTGTTTTTGTTTTATTAATATAATCTTATTTATATTATTTTAATTTACTTTTGCTTATTTTTTTTTGCACAGGTGCACCGATTAATAAAGCTAAGCTGGTCTATTATCAACGTCAAGCCTATAAAGTGCAAGAAACTTCGCTATCTACGGTAAGATTTTATTTAGGAAAATTTATCTTAGTGCAAAAAATTTATCTTAGAGACAAAACTTGAAATTGACATCAAAAATTAAAAAAAAAAATATGCCTAAATATAAAAAAATAAATCTAAAATAACTGGTGCCGGCTGAACATATGTGAGAAATGTCTTAGATGTGTATGTTAAAATATTAAGCTCGTAGCTGAAAAATTGTTTTGACAATTTTTTGTTTTGAGGGTTTAAAAGAAGAGAAATGCCTTCCGCATCACCATTGTGTCGTCACATCAATAGCATGTGCCGCTCGCAGGTCACTAAAAAACTCTCCTCTAAGGAACCGTCGCAATATTCTCTACTCTTAGTTCTCCAACTGTACTCTCGTCCTGTCAGCGAGTGAGTCATCTTCGTTGACATTTTTATTGATACATGACGGATCTTTAACTTTCCTTATTTTATACAAATATTTCCTGATGTATCCGTGGCCGGACAGCATCTGAGTAATATAGTATTCTCCGAATTTCCTAGTTGTTTTGACTCTGACGTCTGATATTAATCTGTCCGTCTATCGGACATGGTATCTTACTCCCCATCTGATACTGTGCGATACTGCTGTGAGGTATACTTTAGCCAGTACCATTCGCCGCCAATAGCTTGGCTCCAACAGTAAGATGTTAAGAGTTGTCGATATTATAAGCTTTTTTTCTTGAGTCGGTCCTCCTATGTTAGCCATCAGTCTACTAAGCTGAGAAGTGGCTTTTGAGGTTTTAACTGCAGCGTTCTGAACTTAAGCCCAGTAGCACAGTCTAGGAGTTAGTCTTACACTCGGAAAGTTAACAAATTTTATTTACCTCATCGTATCTGAGATTATGTGCATATCTATTTCTAGAGGTATTTGCTTCATCGCTTATAGCAGGTAATCGGTTTTTCTATTGCGAGTGTGGTAAAGTAAGACTCTGTTTTACTTTTTTGCTGTGTACCACTTAAGTGAAAGTGCGTTCTCCATGGTATTGGTGAATTGGAGCCATAAATTATGGGAACGTCGCGCATTGTGTTCCATTCATGTGCTTGCGATTTTTTTTTCAAAAATATCATTCGAATTACTCGAAATCAAATTTTAAAATATCCCTTATTGAAATCCATGACAGTAAAACAAATACAATTAAAATTAAAATAAGTTAAATTGACATTTTATTTTTAATTTTATTTAAATTCTCTTTTTTCCTTTTTATCCATACAGACGTGATGCGAATCGATAATTTATCAAAGCGACGATTGTCCGTCAAGTCCAAAAATCATCGTCCCATTAACACAATCAACAACCATTTCAACATTTTTTCACCAATGCATTAGTAGGGCGTGTATTTACCAGGCGGCGGATGTATGAAGATGACGACGATGACGACGACGACAACGTTAATTATAAAGATGTTGATGACGATGATAATAGTAAAGTCGATGATATAAGACCGCGACGCCCCAGTCAAATTAGAAAATGTAAGCGGAAGTAAAGCAGCGACACTTTATTTGCACTTGTAACAGTTCAGGATATAAAAAATAGGGTACAAAGGAAATATATATGCATGTATATTATTATTATTATTTAATTTTTTGATTTTTTCCACCAAATGCGATAATTAAATTATACATAAAATGATGTGGATAAAAAAGATAAAATGAATGAACTCCTTACGGCAGACTTTATATATACACACACACACATACAAAACAAAGTGTATAGAAGTTCGGAAAGGCTTTTATATATGTATATTGAAGAAATAAAATAGAAAGGAAAAGAGCACCAATATTTACCCAGCCTAAATCGAACTCTGTGATAAACTTAGATACAGGAAAATGATGAATAAAAATGAAAATTAATTATGTGTGAGGAAAAAATGAGAAAAAACACACACTCACATATAATAGGAACATTTTGTATTTAAAAAAAATGCAATCATATACTTGAATTTCCATAGACTGGTCAATAGTGGCGGTGCCGTAGCTGTCGCCTCTGAAGCATTCATACATTCATACATATATATTTGCATTTTAAAAACCTTAAGAAAATTTTTGGCATTTTAAATTCTTTTGTCTTTACAAGAAGCACGCATGCTTGAGCATGACAATGCTTACATACATATATACAATTTTTTTTTGCACATATTCACAACGGTATATGCATAAATTATGCTTATAATTTTACATTCTTGCTTAACACTCATTTAAAGCTATTTTCGAATATAATTTTGCTAACGATCTGAAATTGATTTAACTAGCGTAACTTTATCTAAATTAAAAATTGTTTTCTGTTTGCGTGTCAAACGAAATACATATACATACACACCTATGCATACATATTTTTCATGTGTAAAATATAGCATTTTAGTATATTTTTAGCTAGCTTATGAATATTGAATGATATTTGGATAAATAATTATCTGTTGTTCCTTAGGTTAAATGCATTCTATTTTTTATTCTGTTTTCAATAAACGAAAGGCACTGTATGAAAAAATTTTCAAACTATACATCTATCTTTGCACGATTAAATGAAAAGGAGTTTTTTTCTTCTATTATTATATTTTTTTAGTATACAATGATGGAATGTAGAACGGTCCTTATTGAGGGGACCTTTTTCGAACTTAAAAGGGTTAACAAATAAAAGAAATTAAAAAGTTTTTAAAAAATTACAATGTAAAAAGTTTTTGAAAAATTACAATGTAAAAAGGAAAATAAAAAAAATATAATAATAAAATATATAATAAAGAATATAATAAAAAACATCATAAATAATATAATAAGAAAATATAATAAAGAACAATAATAATAAAAAAATATATAATAAAAAGATTTAATAAAGATAAATAATTAATAATATATATTTAAGTCATAATAAAAACTATAATAAAAAAGATATAATACAGAATACAGTAAACAAAAAAAATGATAAAAAAATGATAACAAATGATAAAAAATAATAAAAAATAATAAAAAATAATAAAAAATGATAAAAGAAATAATAAAAATAATAATAAAAGAAATATAAAAGAAATATAAAAGAAATATAAAGAAAATATTAAAAAATGGAAAAATAAAATAAAAAATGAAAAAAATAAGAAAGGAAATAAAAAATGAAAAATAATAAAAAAAATGATAAATCATAAAAAATAAAAAAAAAAAAATAATAAAAAATAAAGTTTAATAGAAAATAAAATGATATAAAATTGAAAAAATAAAATAAAAAATGAAAAATAAGAAATGAAATAAAAAATGAAAATAATAAAAGTAAAAAATAATAAAAAATAAAAAATAATAAAAAATAAAAAAATAATAAAAAATAAAAAAATAATAAAAAATGAAAAAAAATAGTAAAAAATAAAAAAATAATAAAAAATAAAAAAATAATAAAAAATAAAAAAATAATAAAAAAAAATAATAATAGAAAATAAAAAAAAAATAAAATGAAAAATGAAAAAATAAGAAATGAAAAATAATGAAAGAATGAAAAATGAAAAATGAAAAAATAATAAAAAATAATAGAAAATAAATAAATAATAGAAAATAAAAAAAAAATATTAAAAAAAAAATAAGAAATGAAATAAAAAATGAAAAAAAATAAGAAATGAAATAAAAAATGAAAAATAATAAAAAATAAAAATTTAATAGAAAATAAAAAAAATGATATAAAATTAAAAAATAAAAAATTATAAAAAATAAAAAAAATTTAGAGATGTATGAACACTTTTTTTTGCTTTCAAAATGTCTATTTATGTATTAAATGATATTGGAAAGGAGGAGCTCATTTCATTTCAGGAGATCATTTTCTAAGTATTGAATTTTTGAGTAAGTTTTTCTAAAAATACCCAGAAAGTAAATTTCTAAAAAAATAGATGCCTAAAATAAATAAATTAGATAAACTACATTTCATCCTTTTTATATCACCTAAATTTGTTATATTATTTATTTTAAAATTATAAAATGAAAATTTCTTTGGTTTATGCAACTTTTTTTCATTTTCATTTTTTAAAAATGAAGTTTTTAATAGAATTATTTATTGCAAAATCGTTTTTATGTACTGTTATTTGAAGCAGTTGCAGGCGTTGCATTATTATTTAACTGCACACACTAAAAATAAAATATGTATGTAGAAGGAAGGAAATATAAATATTTGCATATACATACATATATATGTGTAATTAGTAGCAATTTTAGTCTCAAATAATTATTTACGCTTTTTAAGAGTGTAGTAAGGCGTATATAACTAAGCGGAGCTACCTAATTTGATATTAACACTTAAATGTAAAGCAATATACGTAAATAATTGATATTCAAGATTTATTATAATTTCGAAATTCCTATTGTATTCCATTTTTGAACACTTTTTCCATTTTTTCATTACACGATTTAGTCAAATGAATTTTTTTTTTTTTCAATTAATTAATTAAAATATATTTATATATGTAGTTAACTTCACTGTCATATTTTGGTATTTATTGGTGCTTAAAAAACACAATAACGAATGAAGAGTATAAAATATCTTAAAATAGCAAACGTACATACGTACGTGTATGTACATACATCAGCACCAAGAGCAAATAAAGTATTAAAGATTAAGGCATTGTATGTATTGTATTATAAATATTAGTTGAATCATTAAATGTGGCCTTCTTTAATTGAAACAAAAAGATAAGAAATAAAACGAATAAGAAATGTCTACAAATTGGATATTTGGGTAAAAAAAAGACATATGCAATTGAATTTGAAAATGAAAATCACATATGTATGTAAGTACTTTGTAAGAAAAGGCGAAAAACTTTGAAATTGTTTGTAAAGAATAAAAAATATATGTATTTAAAAATAAATATAAAACCCAAATGGAGTAACAATAATAAATGAAGCAGTACAGCGACATACACTAACTCACACTAACACACATATTTTCTTATTTAAAAAAAAAGAATTACTATATATGCACACATTTTTAGTAGTGTATACTAAAAATTCAAAATCAAATACTAATAGAAGTGTGCATTATTGAACTTTTCTCTATGTATGTATTCGTATACTATGTAGTTATACAAAAAGAAATATATAAATATATATATATATACATACATTATATGTATATAAACTTATATATATATAATATATATTTAGAAATACTTCTCTAAATGAATGTGTTTTTAACGAATGACAAGTGTGTGAGACCAACAACCCAAAGGAAATAGTTGAATTATGGGTTTATCAAATATGGACTAAATGTACAGCAGTAAGTAAGATGCAAAAAAAAAGAATATAAATAAATAAACAAATAGTAACACTATTCAGTTCCTGGTATACTGACTACGACAACATAAACGTAATAGAAAAAAAAACAATGTCTTTATTATTACTATTATAAACTAAATATAAATGGAGAAGTGCATAAATATATGGATTATGGCGTATATTATGGAAATAAAATGTTCATAAAATATATAAATTGTGTGTGTTTTAATGTAGAAAGTTTTCATTTTACATATACATACATATTAGGTCAAGTAAAACGTTCGTTCGGGTTTTTATCTAAGAGATGGCGTTTTTGGCCATAATACTAGTGTTACGTGTCGCATCATTTCATACTATACGGCGCTGAAAACGTGTTTATTCACGCTTAAAGTTTGTCTTTGACAATTTTTTGATTGATTGACTCAGTGTACGTTGTGAGCGCTCCTCAAAGATGGACACCAGCAAAGATAAAATTCGCTATATTTTACAATTTTTCATCGATCAAGGCGAAAAAGCAGCCAAAGCGGCTGAAAAAATTAATTTATTTTAAAAGTGGTTTGCTAGGTTCCGTTCCGGTAATTTCGATGTCAAAGACACACCAGGTTTTGCTGTATTTTCGGTGGGATTGGCAAGGAATCATCTACTACGAGCCAAACGCTCCATTCGGCCCTCTCCTGCCAACAACTGGATTGCTTGAAGGCAGCACTCATCCAGAAGAGGCCATCTTTGTTCAACAGAGGCCGAATTGTGTTCCATCAGGACAACGTCAGGCCGCAGACGTCTTTGGTAACGCTCCAGAAGCTCCAGGAGCTCGGATAGACCGGACCTGGCACCTAGTGATTATTATCTTTTCCTGTCCATGAAGAACGCGCTTAATGGGGAGAAGTTCTACGAGAGGAGTATAATGAAGCTGGCATCTCGTTGGCAACAAGTTTACGAACAAAACGGCGCATATTTGACCTAAATCGGACAAATGTACACAAAGTTATCATACGTGTATGTTCAAAAATCAATAAAAAAAAAACCGAACGAACTTTTTACTCCATCCAAATTTATAGCAGAGATCTGATCGCATGCCTTAGAATTTTGTTTATCAATGCATAGTAGTCTGCCAAATGTCACTGCTACTATGCATCGATACGTACAACCATTTTGTCTTAATAGTACAAGTTGCAATCGCTTTGAATCCGTCAGCAACTTAAAACTAAAAAATGTGCGTAGCAATTTACTTTTGGAGAAAATAATCGGCCTTATGCTAAATATAGTGAAAATGATATGCCAGTCAACCCCATCGTCAACAGTATGGTCAGAAGAGGCTGTTGCGGTATGCTCGTCACCGTTATCGCCTTCATTTTCTGTCGTTTCTTATCGTCAGCAATTTCACTGGCGATCCTTCAACGTAACAGAGTATGCAGAAACTAAAGTTGCCAATGGCAAGCGCTCAATTTGAAATTCTTTTAGAAAAGAAGCCGCAATTAGTCTTATACAATTTAAAAGAAGAGTGGGAAGTTATG